ATTAAATTCTAAAAAATATATTTTTTATGTTTTCAATAAAAATTACATTTTTTATCTTAGAAAAATCATTTTTTTAACAAAAGCTACATTGTTATCTTAAAAACATCGTCATTATAGAATTTTAAAAAATATATTTTTTTATGTTTTCAACAAATGCTATAATTTTTTATCTTAAAAATGTCATTTTTTCAACAAAGATCGAGTTTTTTATCTTAAGAATATTATCTTTGTTAAATTTAAAAAATAAAATTTCATATTTTTCTATAAAAATTGTGTTTTCTTATTTAGAAGCATCATTTTTTCAAAAAAAAAAAAATGTGTTTTCTATCTTAAAAACATCATTTTTGTTATATTCTGAAATTTTTTTTTCATATTTTAAAAAATCTACATTTTTATCTTATAAACGTTCTTACATTTCATAGATTTTAAATTCCAAATATAAAATCAAGATCACTTTTTACCTAAATCACTTTCAATCCCTTAATTACTATGTTTTATTAATTACTACTTTTCTTTACTAAGAAATGTTATTGATATTGAAAATATAAAATTTATTTTATTATTATTTTTTACGATAAACTGAATCTCATATGTTAAAAACATAGTACTTTTGAAACTATAAAAAATTTAAAGTTCATATTTTCAATAATCTATTACGTTTTTCTTTTAAAACCTTGTTTTTATTATAATTATTTTTTTCATAATATATTATATAATATGACTACGTTTCTAATATAACAATGCTATGTAAATGAAAAAAAATTGAATTTGAAACTTTATAAGTTGAAAGCAAATATTTAAATTTATAAAAATTCAATTACATATTATCATTGTCAAGTATCCAATCATATGATTAGGAATACAGGTTTGTATGTTAGAATGAGTTTGATATATCATGTAATTATGTTAATTGTTAAGCGTAAAATAAACCATAAAAAATTATTATTAAAGGCAAAATTGGGACAAATTTTACATTCAGCAAAGAATCTTAAAAACCTCTGAGTTGCGGTTTCTAATTTAAAGCTATCACCTTCCACTTTTAGCATTGTTAGAAAGTTTAGAAAACCTTAGGAATCAAAATCCGTAAACTAAACTAATAAATCAAATTGCGAAAAGTAAGATTTCAATTAGTAATCTAACTTTTTTTTGAACCAAATGCCCCCTTAAAACTAATTGTCAATTGATGAAGTATTTGTTAATTATACATTTTGACACATGTCAAAATTTTATTAAATGTTTATATCATGTCAATAAATTAATTAATAGTATTCATTCGAAATACTAAAGTAAACAAAGAATTAAAGTTTGAATACCAAATCGACAAATTTATTTATTTAAGTATTAAATTGACCAAAAAGTGCAACATATATAAGACAAATGAGTATTTAACCCATTTGAAAAAATTCCTCTTTTTAAATTTTAAAATTTTTAAAACTTTTTTAAAAATTTTTGAATTTTTTAATTCAAAATAATTTTAAAATGAAACCACCTTTTGATGATATGGCGATGGTTCCATTGATGATGTGGAGATTACATGTTCGTTTAGTTGATAATCTTGTGACATTTTTTGTGTAATTATTAACAAAAGATTTGATGCAGTGAAACCATAGATATTTAATTACAATTTTTAATTCTATAAAAATCAATACGACCAAAAATGTTATAATTAAAGGAAAAAAAATTAATATTTAACCCAAAATATTTCTCTAAATATTATGTTAATAAGTTCTTCCGAGGTTTCTCATTATAATCATATATTAAAGAAGCTTTGATGTTTAATGAGAATATACATATATATATATATATATAGTTTATTGCTCTAATCATTAAAAAAGTTTAGAAAGTTATGTAAGGTGAAAGTTCAAATCTTACTGTCCCATCTCCCATTCAGTGAACCAAAATATATGAAAATGGTAAAAATTTTTGAATATTTATATATGGGCTATTTAAAAATTAAAATGATGGATTTGACGAAAAATAACAATTATATGAATTGAATGGTGATGCCAAACAGATTAAACGAATGATATCAATGGATTTGTAAAACAAAAAAAAAAAAAAAAAACACACAGATTATGTAGAGGGTTAAATACAAAAATAGTTTAAGTACATATATTTTTTGTCAATTTGATAATTAATAAAAAAAATTCACAAGTAGGTATTTGAATTTTTATTCTGTTATACATTTCAGTATTTTTATTACATCACGTTAGAAGAAAATTCAAAATATTTAAAATATCTAAAAAAATTTTAAAAATAAAAAATTCAAAAATATTTTAGAAAATTTAAAAAATTCAAAATCTAAAAATTAGAAAATCATTAAATTTTCCAAAAATAAAAAATTATAAAAATTTTCTAAAAAATTTAAAAAATTACAAAATTTTAAAAAATTCCAAATAATTGAAAAAAGGTAAAATTCAAAAAATTCAAAAACAAAATTTGGAAAACAAAAAAAATAAAAAACTAAAAATTAGAAAATAGTAAATAGTAAATTTTCAAAAAATTGCCAAAATCTCAAACAAATATGAAAAATATTAAAAAATCCTAAATTTTAATTTTAAAATTTTAAAAATTTCAAAAAAATTTACTGTAATATATTAAAAATTAAAAAAAATAATCCTAAAATTTTATAAAATTCTAAAAATATAAAAAAATTCTCAAAAACTTCAAAAAATTTGAAAACTTTTAGAAAAAAAAAGTCCAGAAAGAAAAAATCTATAAAAAGTAAAAAATATATTTTGGAAAAATACTAGAAAAACTTTAAAAACAATAACAAAATCCTATGAATTTAAAAAAATTCTAAAAAATTAAAAAGTTGGAAATTTTTTTTTTAAAAATCACAAGAAAAAATCATAAATGCAAAAAAATTAAAAATACTGAAAAAATTACTTACGGCCAAACTTTATTTTTCATTTTAATATATTGATTTTTTTTCATATTTTCAATTTTTATAAAGTTTTTTAATTTTTCTTAATTATCTTTTTTTAATTTTTTGTTTTATTTTTTACTATTTTTAAATATTTCATATTTTTTAAAATTTTAAAATTTTTATATTTTTATATTTTTTAATTTTTTGAAATTTATAAAAAAATTTTAATTTTTTGAATTTTGGGGAAATTTTAGGAAATTTTACTTTTTATTTTTTAGTTTTAAGAATTTGTTTTTGAATTTTTCATAATTTTTCATTTTTTTAAAAAACTTTCAACTTTTTCTAAAATTTTTGGAAATTTTTTAATATCTTAGATTTATGTAGACTTTTTTAATTTTTAAGATTTTTTTCTAAATTTTTAAAATTTTAAAGAACTTTCATATTTTTGTTCGATTTTTTTAAAAAAATTTCTAATGCTAATATGGGAATGATGATACGGTAATAACTAAATATTTTAAACATGTGTCATGATTTTATGAGATATTATCGTCAAATTAGTAATTTGTTTAAAATTATTTATTTGGATTATTAAAGTGTAGTATGAAATAAAAATTCAAATATTTATCTATAAATTTTATTTATTAAGGTATCAAATTAATAAAAATATATAATATAAAGAAATATTTTTATATTTAACTATTATGTACAAACGTTAACTCGTGTCTCAATCTCAATGGCTTGCCGTTGTCAATTTTGGACTGCCATCCATCACTTTTTTCTTTGTTTTTTAATTCTTAAAGAAAGTGAAGAAATGGTGAACATTTACTAATTAATAGAATGCCAAGATCAAACCAAATATCAAGATATTTGATTTGATTAATCATAGGTTCATGTATTTTCTTTGTCATTTTCAAATGGTTGAGTTGAATCTCTCTTTTCTAAATTAAAGAAAAAAAGCATGTGTACATTAGTTTAAGTCATTTGTCTTATAGATGGATATAATTAGTAATTTTTATATTTATGTTATTTTTGTTTTATTTTAAATATACGTAAAATATAAAAATTATCGTATTATAATTTATATCGATACGTTAAATTTGAAATATATTTTTTTTGTTAAATTTATATGATTTTTTTATCAATTTCAAACTGTCACTTTTATATTTTTTTTATATAATTTTGTATCATTTTTAAAGCTGTTTGTCTATGAAAAAAAAGCTTAAATAATTTTTAATAACACGTGTGCATGTTTTGAAAATTTGAAAAAATATGTAAAGTATATATATTAGTATTTAGTAGTATAATTGTAATTTGCTAATTATATAAAAAGATAAAAAAATAATTTAACTTTTTAACATTAATATAAATTGATCTTCGCAATTTGCATTATATAATATATGTACCTAAGTTGATGAATTGATGTGTAAATTAATACTGCAAGTCTTGTAACCCCATTTCGCTTAGTTTGGTTTAGTTTAATAATTTTTCTATAATGTATTATAAAAATAAAATTAAAGATATTTAAATGTATTATATTTAGATTTATATACCAAATAAAAATTTTTGAAAGTTACACGTATAAAATTTAGTGAGAGATTAAAAATTAATATTACAATTTTATTTTACGTATCAAATAAAACAAAAAAAAATGTAAAACAAAACCATATACTAAAATAGATTCTCTCAAATAAAATCCAACTCAAAAAACAATTCCCATTTTTTCACATCCAAAAACCTATTAACCCCAAAACCAACTAAACCTAAAAATATAACAGTTGTCATGTGTAAAAGGCTCAAGAGATTCTTTTAATAGATAGTAATATAGATAATATAAATTTAGAATGTTAACCAATTATTTCAGTAAAATTTTATAATTAATTAATACTCTTATGAAAATGTATTTTCCTTGAAAATATGATAGAAATGGTTTCAAAAGCCAAATGCACACTGCCAACCTTTGAATAACCTCATTTTAAATACATCAAGCCATTTTTTTATTTGAAAAATTAGAGATCCGAAATCAGCTTATTGAATGATATATATATATATATATATATATATATATATATCATTGAGCCAAATTCTCGAATCCAAGCTAAAATATTATGGATTTGGTTTTTAAAATATTATATACAATGAATTATAAAAAGGGGTAAAACTAATTAAGTTTCCACGTATGTAACTTGATCCTTTTCATATTTATAATATTATGTTTTCTTCAACAAGACGAAACAAGCTTTTCCCTCTTATTTTTTATCCAGAGATCCCTAACTTATTGTAGTTTACATGTGAATACACTAAAATTTTTAACCTGATCAGATTTTTCCAATTGTCCATTGCAAGAACTTCTGAATGCTATCAAGCCCACATAGTTCCTTCACCACAGGCATGGTGGCAGGTACGTCCAATTGGCAGAATGTTGAATCTGACTCGTTTTGGCCACTCCATGAAAGAAGCTGCTGCCTGGCTTCTCTTACAGCTGCCCTTGTAGCACAGTGAACTGAAACTGCTAGAGTTAATGGCGGCTCACCAGAAGCTGCACAGGAAAAGAGAGTAGAGATTTGCAGTAAGTATTATGTTTACCAATCTTGCCAACGGAATCACCTATTCTTTTCTTATTCATGTAAGAATTGTTTGTTTGAGTTTTCTTTCATAGTGAAAAAGCAATGTAGAAGTATTTGTCATTCTGTAATTTCGAGCTATATTCACTATGATTAAATTCAAAGCATAGAGAAAATTGGAATAAGATTTGATGAAACTTGAACTTACCTTTCGAAGAAAGAACACGATTTTTATGATTTCCACTGTTCAGGATTTCAACATTAAATTGTTTGGGTATGGTGTCCACTGTAGGGATCTTGTAAGTCCATGTGCTATCTTCAATCACTAATCCATCTGAATTTGTGTTGTATTCTTCAAGCATAAAAAACCCAATTCCTTGAACATAAGCTCCTTCAATCTGCAAAACATAATCGTTCACTTCTTGAGTTTACTTATCACATAGATCATGCCAAGCAATGAACTTACTAGAACAAAGTGAAATAGAACTTTCAGTCAGTCGTAAAGAAAATCCTAAAGCATATGTACACAGATAAAATCCGTCTATAGCAAACATGCTTAAATGTCGAGAGAGAAATTTGAGAATGCTGACATAACATAGCAACAAATAAATAAAGGTTAAAAGCTAAGGATTGTATCCAGGCTAACCTGTCCTAAATCCACAGCAGGGTTTAAGCTTTTACCACAGTCATATATAATATCTGTCCGCAGATTTGTGGTTTCCCCTGTTATAAGGTTTACTTCTACCTGCAGTGTAACAGGTTTGAAATTAGTTAACTATGAAATCAGGCCAAGATTATGGTATGATTGGTTCCCCAAATGTAACGAAGTTGACCATGTCATGTTCAATGGCACAAATCCAAGGGTACTTCAACAAGGACTGCATTAATTTCAATGCAAGCATGAAACAAAAGCAAAATAGGGCATATAGATGTACTTGCCTCGCTCACTGCAGCGGCATAGTTCAGGTATCGCATGGTAGAAGAGTTTGGTACGTATAGTGTACTTGCTGATAAGTTTATAGAATTAAGATATGCCTGCATGCAGGAGATGAAAAGTGGGAAGCTGCAATGATTACATTCTGTATGATCATGAAAATTTCAAAGAAAATACATATTAATAATTCATCATTACAACTATATGTTTCCAAAAGACCAGTTCCCATCATTTAAAGAGCATAAGCAAAAGAAGTAATAAGAGAAGAGGCCCACTTAAACTTCATTCCAATAATTTTCTCTCATTTCACCAGCATTTTTTAGCCTAGGAATAAGAGCCTCTGCTAAAATCATTAAACAAAATCAATCAGGGCATAGCAGCCGTGTAGTTGCATATAAATAAATGTGCACTAACATGAAATGCCTTTAACATGGTCAGATGTTTCAAAAACCTTAAATCACAAAAGGTTGCATTGTCCACAAAATAGATAGTAAAGCTTCAGTTGCTAATTTTCCAATTATTGAATCAGCTTTTTTTTAAAGAATAAAATCATAAGATTCTTGATTTTTTTTTTTCATTTTTCCTTTTCATGATAAGAAGTGAATATAAGATCTTGAGCTTCCAAGGATTCTAAAGAAGTGAAAAGCACCAGAATGAGAAGTATACTGATGTCATTCTCTAAGTACCCCAAAGTGGAAAAGAAAATGAGGAAGCAAAAACGTTTTAGAAGCGTAGAAGGCTACCTGAAGAATCAGCGTTTCCCATTCTACAGACCCCATTTGCTCCAGCAACCTTTCCTTGAGGGGGACAAGTCTTTCAATCAAGATATTGCAGCAAAGTCTGACTGCTTCACAGCTTGACTCGGATGTCGTGCTTCCTGCAGTAAAACCTCCCTGAATCATGCTCAAACTATCAGCTTCTATGACCCTTACTTTCTCTAAAAGGTCTTCTGTTCCACCACATTTAACCAAACTAAGGGCATATGCAATCATCTGTTTTACTTTTGTCCAGAGACCCTGGCCCATCTCAATTCCTCCGACCTCAACAACAATAGATCCATCACGTAGAATGCTTACCTTCCCTGGGGTTGCTCTCATTGCCACTTCATGCACAATAGGTACCCTTGAAATTCCTCTTTTCTTCCATTTATGACACCTATTAAATTCTTTTATCATTTCAGTCCTGTGGTAAAAGCTTGAAGAATTGGCCAACTTATCCCATATGGAAGGTAAAGTATACTCCAAAGGTTCACCTGCAGCACTTGCAAAAAATAAGTCAAGGCTGTTGTGAGTGTGGAGATTAATATTTCTGACAGAATCCACTTCCATGGAAAGGGCAGATGCAACATGTTCAATTACAGCTTCAGCAATAAATGAGGCCTGTACATCTCCCGGGGCTCTCATCGCTGCTCTACTTGGAAGATTTGTTTTGCAAAGCTTTATATCAAAAGATAAAGCACCCCAGTCATACTTTTTAAGTGCACCTAGCATATGCATTGGCATAATTGGACTTACATCCACAAACATCCCTGAATCAATTAATATATCAAGTTTTAGGGCTGTGATCTTCCCATTAGCTTTGAATCCTACACTGTAAGTTATCTTCATTGGATGCCTTCCTCCTGACATTATCATATCTGTCTTGCGATTGACATATATTCTGACTGGACGCTGTAATTTGTAAGCAGCAACCGCACATGCTGTTGCAACCTATAACATCACATGGTAAGCAGTCTGTAGCTACATGAATGGAATATAATTAAATTATATAAATACTAACTAGTGATGAGAGTAGCTTTAAAATTTAGAAGCAACAAAAATTAGGGTGATGTCATGCATGACAGAGGATCAAGAATCACTTTAGCATTAATTCCTTTAAAACAGTGAACCTCCAATTATATGCTTAAATTAGCCGTAATTTCTGGATAATATTCTTTGGTAATCTAAGCAGTTCTCCTGTCAATTTCAATAAGGAAAAAGGAAAAAGAAAACAGGATACACTGAACCAACAGACATATTTGATTAGATGCATTACAATGAACTTGTTGGATGTATTTACTCTTTGCTATACTTTGATGCAGATCTTTCTTTACTCTTCTTTCTATTTATTTTTTATCTTATTTCTACAAGAAAATATAGAACTATTTATGCTGGCCCTTTACTAGCACACATAAGTCATAACAAACCCAATTACGCACCATTAGCTGACCACAAGGTTTGCAAATTACCAGGTTTGACATGATACAGATCATGTATCTCTGAATAGAAATATCCTTTTGTTTTGTGCCTGAGCTATGCGTCTTCTATTGTTTTTCATCAATGACAGATGAAAAGCCGGTAACTAGCCAGTTTATATCAGGATACATGATCCAGACCAAATAAGTTACACAGAAAACAACTTAATAATTCTGCATTGATTGCTCTATACACTACTTCATAAGGTACAAATTAGTTGGCATTAGATCCAAACCATTTTAAAGGTAGTTAAGTTATACCTAGAAACTCCAATTAACTTATATGCATTCTTTTTCACATGCTTCAGTATATCCAATATAATCGCTGAATATATAAATGCCAATGTCAGACAAAACCAGCTGAACACTAAGTTTCAGAAGTTTTCCTCTCTCGTAAGTTTTACTAAATCAAGCATCTATGACTCGATTTACTCTTTCCTATCTTCCAAGCAAACAAACAAAACTTGGATGGAAATAAAATCCCACATATTTATTTTGCATAGTATTACACCAATCAAATTTGTTTAGAAAAATTGAGATAAGAAATCAATAAAAGAAAAAGTGGATCTAACCCATTGAATTGTTACTATATCCACTACCATTAAATTAAATTTGACAGAGATGAATTAGTATTTTCGGCTGATTATACCAAACAAATCCTCATCTAAATTAATATCGAGGTTATCTTCTTAATAAACTAGTTGATCTAATTCAATATCAATTACACAATTTTTTTAAAAAAATCAATCTGAGGCTCGAAAATAGAAAAAGCTTTTTGAAAATAGAGAAGCAACTATTTTCAAAATAAGAAAATAATATATTTTATCTATCTATAGATAAAAATGTAAATTCTAAAAATATTAATAGTAATCAATTTAAATACCCCTATAAATTTTTAAATTAACAACTTTATCCTTAAAAACATATATAATTTTATTCATTCATTTAAATTTAATTTAAATCAACTAAAATTAAAAATAAAATTTATGTGCAATTAAACTATTTAAAATTTTAATTCTACAAGTGTTAAAAGTTATTGCCTAAGATTTTCTTGGTAAATATTTTTATAAAATTTAATTTAAATGAATTTTTTATTACTAGCTCTTTTTTATAATTAGATTAAAAGTGCTAAAAGCGAATTATTAAAATACTCTTAATAAAATTTTAATTTAAAAAATATTTAAAGTAATTGATTAAAATATCATTAGTAATTTTTTATAAATTTTAATTTAAAGAACTTTTTTGTTCTTAATCTTTTTTTTATAAGTAAAATGATTTTTTCCATCAAATAATTCAGATAGTTAAATGATCCAACGTGAATTATTCTAAGTAAAATATTATTAAGTGAAGTAAAATTAATTGGTTTTTTTATGTATTCTTTCAAGATGTAACAAAATTCATTATAACTATTTTTTGAATATGTTTATGCCAAAATTACATTTATTTATGAAATTTTATGTTATTAATATTAAAAATAAAATCATCATAAATTGTATAGGTTTACATAACAAATTTGATTTTCTTAGAATTGAAATTTTTTTAAAAAATATGACAATTACCAAGGTAAAGAATTTGTTTTTATTTTATTTTTTAAAATTATGCATTTTGTTATTTTATATAATAAAAATTTTAAAATAAAAGAAAAATTAAACTTTCAATTGATAAAATGTACAATTACATTCAATTAATGAAAGCACCAATGAAAGATTATTTCAAACAAAAAAATGAGATAAAAGATTGTTATATTTAACTCTATCATCTCTATATGATAAATAAGGTTATTGCTACATGATGTTTGAATGAAAAATATACAAATACATTTATTTCCAATTTCTTTGGGATTAATAGGAAACTATTTTATTTGGAGAAATATGACATACTCATTTATTTTCTATTTTATATCAATAGAAAAATGTTCATTGTTGTAAAAAAATTTTGAGGTTATCGTATTAGATAATATTTGTTCAAAAGAATTGAAATTCATCAAATTAATTACCAATCTACATCTAAAATAAAAAAATTATTATATATTATAATTTAACTAAACTTAAAATGATTTAAAGGCATTTATTAGCAAAATTTATTTGATAAATCTTTATTCAATTATATATTTAATATTTCAATCATTTTGAATTTTAATGTTTTATATTTTCGAGTTGAATTTAAGACTTAGATTAATGATCAATTAGGTGGAGTTAAGTTTTATCATCTACTTTTATTCATAATGTACTCAATTATTTACTTATGCACATAAGCAAATTTAACTCAATAATTGATGCATGCTTTTCTTTGTTTAAAAAGTTGATTCAAATCATCCTAAATTTAAATAAAATAAATTATAGTAAATTACTTATAATTGCAATTTCACTTTAGAAATACTTTTAAAATTAATTAACTAATTCAATCACAAAGACAATAAAAATCAAATATTGAAAGTGAAGAGAAAAAGCTTAAATAAAAAACTTTCAAATTGTTATAGAAGCTAAACAACAAATAATGAATTTTAATTTGGTACTATTTTAATTCAGAGATTTTGGTTATGTTCAATTATTTCAAGTTTTAAATAATTACCAAATTGTGACGTTTTAAAATTAATTGAAATTCAGTCAAGTTAGTTCATTTTATAATTATATTAGTTTTAATTTCATTAAATTTTAAAATATATAAAAAATTATTTATATTCAATTAAAGTTTTAAATTGTTTCAAATTTAAGTTAATTAATTTATGTTATTTTAACTATAATTTTACGATACCAGTAATAAATTTTAAAATAAAATAAGTATACAATACAATGAAAATTTAAGTACAAAAATGATAAAAATACTGATGATAATTTTAGAACAAAAAATTTACACCCAAATTTTGTAGAGATTAAAGGATTTTTTTTAAGGATTTTGAAATTTATATTGTAAAAAAGTTAATTTAGATCAACGAGTTTATAATCGTTTATTTTTTAATCAAATTACTACTATATAGGTTGAAGGAAATAATTCAAGCATTTCATTTGAAATAGATCATATTATAGTTCAAAATCATTCATGAAAACAACATAGAGTTAAACATTATTTTGGTCGTTATGACCTTTTACAATATTTTTTACTCTTTCCAAATAAAAAAGCTTATTGACATCAAAATATTAGAAAAGTTATTTTGAATGATGGTAATAAGAATGAAGCAACAATTTAAAATCTATCGTCTTTTCATTTAGTAGAAGAAATTTTTTATGAAAAATACGAAATATTCTTTATTCTTTCCAAATGAAGAAGTTGATTGGTATCAAAATATTAAAAAATTTTATTTTGAATGATGATAATAAGAATAAAGCAAAAATTAAAAATATACCATGTTTTCGTTCAGTAGAAAAAAAATTTTATAGGGAATACAAAAATAATTATTATGAATTTAATATTTTTTAAAATTATTGTCTATTTCATTTTTATAAATTTTATTTTGTAAATGCATTCTCATTACTTTTATTATATATATATATATAAAACAAATTTTTACCAAAAATTGTATACTTAAAAATAGAAACATAAGGCAAAGTTTATTACTTCCATTGATAATAGAACACTTCAAATTTTTTAATTTTTTATATGTAATTGTACTTCGTTGATAGGTATGAAAATACATACACTAATAATTCAATCAAATCATTAATAATGCTTATCTTAATATGTACTATTTTACCTTGAACTAAAAAATTTGAAGAAAAGTTTAGAAATATTGATTTAATATATGTTGTATATATTTATTTAATTTATTTTTAATATTTGAATTAGTATAAAAAGTTATGATTTAACTTATTATTACATGTTAAGCTATGGATAATAAATTAAGAGCATTTACTCATACTTTTTAAGTCATTTACACTTGAACTTTTTTTTTTTTTTTCTCTACCTTGCAAATTATACCATCTAGCATATATTGTGATTACTTTTTTTATATATACACAAATAAATGATAATATAGTAATATATAATTAATAACTTAATAATGAATTAGTGAAAACTTAAATGTAATCAGTATAATATGATACTAATAATTGATAATTTAGTAGTAAATTAGTGATAATTTAATAGTAAATAAATGATAATTTGGTAATAAATAATTGATAATTTTTAATAAATCATTAATAATATAATAATATGTACATAATACCTTAATTGTAAATCAATTATAACATAGTTGTAAATGTATAATAACATAATACTAAATCAAGGAAAACTTAATAAAAAATAAGTAATAACGCAGTAATTAATTAATGATAAAAATAAATCAATAATAACTTTATAGTAAATTAGTAATAATTTGATAGTAAATTAATTTCAATTTAATAGTAATTAATTGATAGTAGTAAATCATAAATTACTTAGTAGTAAATAAATGATAAATTAGTATTTAATAATTAAAAATTTAAAAGTAAATCAGTATAACTTAGTAATAAATCTATAACATAATTATTAGTCAATAATAACTTTATAATAAATCATGTATAATTTAATATAAATTAGTAATAACTTGATTGTGAATCATAATAAATCTATAACATAATAATTAATCAATAATAACTTTATAATAAATTATATATAATTTAATATAAATTAGTAATAACTTGATTGTGAATCATAGATAGTTTAATAGTAAATTAATAATAATTTTATAGTAAATAATCATAAATTAAGTAGTAAATCAATAATAAACTAATAGTAAATATATAAAAATATAATAGTAAATCATTGATAATTTAATAATAAATTAATAATTTAATAGTAAATCACTAATAATACAATAGTAAATTACTAATAAATTAAGTGTAAATCAATAATAATTTAATAGTATATTAATTATTAATAATTTTTTAATGAATCATCGATAAATTAGTAGTAAATCAACTATAAATTTACAATAAATTATCAACAAATCATAACTTAATAGTAAATCACTCATAAATTAAAAATAAATCATTGATAATTTAGTAGTAAATCTTTGATAACTTAGTAATAAATAACTAATAACTTAATTTTCAATCATCAACAATTTTTTTTTATACTTAAAGTTGCTAAGGATTGAACTCTAGTTATTAGCAAAAACAAAGTTAAAGCTTTCATTTTAAAGATTAAGATAAATTTACCATGAACCTATTTAATAAAAAGAATAAGTGAAAAAATTCTAAACTCGAATAAAATAATAAATACTATTATATAGAAAGATTATCTCATATATATAAAAAAAAAAACTTAAATTTCATGTTTCATAATTTTAAATGAATAATAATATATTAGTAAATTAATGAAAGTTTAATAAAAATAAGCAATAATTTAGTTGTTAATTTTTTATAACTTAATAATAAATCAATGATAATTTAATAGTAAATTAGTGATAACTTAATGGTAAATCAATTTTAATTTAGTAATAATTAATTGATAAACTTAATATTAAATTATAGATATTTTAATAGTAAATCAATAATAATTTAGTAGTTAATTGTTGAAACTTAACAATAAATCAATATAACTTAGAAACAATTAGTCATCAATAATTTAATAATTAAATAACTTAATAATAAATTATAGATAATTTAATATAAATTACTGATAACTTGATAATGAATCATGGTTAATTTAGCAATAAATTTATGATTATTTTGTAGTAAATAATCAAAAAATAAATAATAAATCAATGATAACATAATAATAAATACATAATAACATAATAGTAAATTATTAATAATTTCATAGTAAATCAATAATAATTTAGTAGTAAATTAGTTAATTATTGATTAGTTTTGTAGTAAATCACCAATAAATTAATAGTAAATCAATTATAACTTTATAATAAATTATCAATAACTTAGTAATAAATCATTAACAATTTAATAGTAAATTATGCATAGCTTAATAATAAATCATTCATAAATTACTAATAAATTAATGTTAATTTAATAATAAATCATTGATGATTTAATAATATATCATTTATAGCTTAGTAATAAATTACTGGATAATATAATAATAATCAATAATAACTTAATTATCAATTATTGATAATTTTTTTAGACTTAAAGTTAGAAATGGAATCTTAATTACTAGTAGAAACGAAAATAGAAATTTTATCTTTGGAGATTTAGATAAACCTACAACGAACCTATTTAATTAAAAAATTTAGTGAAAAAAATCTAAATGTAAATGAAACTGTTATTATATAAAAAAAATTGTCCTATACTAGAATTGAATTTGCTTTTCTTACAGGAATTCATTGTTTAATATATGATAACTTAAATTTTATCAACGATTATTAAAAGTATATTCTAAGTTACCAGAAAGTTAATTACTAAAATTATATTAAAAAGTTATCAAAGTTTTATCAATGATTATCAAAATTGTATCAAAAGTTACTAAAATTTTATTAAAAGTTATCAAAATTAAAATTGTATAAAAAGTTATCAAATTATACTTATATTAAACCAAAATCAAAATTATATCAAAAGTTATCAAAATTTACATATTATTATATAAAATCAAAATTAAATTATTATTATTATTATTTATTATTATCATATTATAAAAAATATTTATTGAAATGAATTTTTAAACATAAATATCACGTGTCAAAACTAGTAATTAAAAAAAAAAAAAAGGAAGAAAGCGAAACATACAGCCATGGCTTTTACACCCTTTCCACCAAATCCTCCTCCAAGCCTTCTAGTAATCACACGAATGTTATGGCCAGGAACACCGAGACATCTAGCTATGGTATCATGTGCAAACTCAGGGCATTGGATAGAACTGTACACCACCATGCAGTTATCCTCATCTGGCACAGCAAGAGCAGTTTGTGTCTCCATATAAAAATAGTATTGTGACCCAAGTTTGATCTAGATGTAACAATTTAACAGAAACATTAGCAAATTTCCACCATAAAAGTTAATGATTAGTTCTACTAAGTCATGAGTCTCTATAAATCGTAGTATGGTTAAATTTAAAAAAAGAATGCCAAATAAATATATTGCAGAGGTAGTTATTCAGAGAGGAAAAGATTAGGGAATTTGTGTAATAGGGAGGAAGAAGCAGCAATAAAATATGAACTTGCCTCAGCGGAGAGAATTCGGTGATCAGCTTCAGCCATTCCTTTAGATAAATCACCAACCTGTTTAGGATAAAGAGAAGGAGGGACTTTGAAAAAGCTACATCTCTCAACTGCCTCTTCTACAGATAATATTGGTGGTTCTAGATTTTCCTTGTCATAAACAACCACTGCAAGATTGGCAGCGATGTCTGCATTTTTCTGAGTATCTGCAACCTGAAATAGTAATTTCCATAATCAAGTTCTCAAGATGTCTACTTTTTTTTTTTTTGGTGAAACCAGAAATCAAAGCCCGTGAAACAAACTTATTAGCATTATAGCACATCAATAATAATGACAATTAAAAAGAAAAGAAGAAGAAGCTAGATATTAAAAAGCAACACACAATGACAATGATAACATGGAATTACCACAAAGGCAATCCTCTGACCAGCACCTTCAGTAAGCTCATCAGCATATAAAGGTTCAGTTCCAAGTACCGTCTTAGAACCCAAATTCACCCCAGGAATGTCTTTAAAAGAAATAACTGCAATAACTCCATCTGGTGATAATCCAGGTTTGAATTTTATGCCCTTCACCCGTGCCAGAGGCTCTGTGCTATAAATAAATGCTCCATGTAGACAATTTTTTGGAGAAGGAATGTCATCCACATAAATAGCCTCACCTACATAATTGGCTGGGTAAGGAACATAAGCAATTTGATTGTATAGAGTTTGCATCAGTAAATAATGAAGATTACAGATACAAGGAAAAACAAAGGTGACTTCAAAAGGAAAACCTGGGATACATCTATTGTCAATGACTTACAACTAACACGTCAATTTTATCATAGTAACTTTTCTGTTTAATATTTTAAATATCAAGCTCATATGTCAAATAATCTTGTGAATTTGAAGAATATGCTTATAAAAGTTTATAATGGTGCATATGTCTGGCGAAGTAGAAGGCCAAATACACACATTCACTCGCATCCATGCATAACTGAGCATATTATAGCTTCCAGTTCATGCTCCAAATCCTTTAACTTTGCCATGCTTTACGCAATGAAGGAACAACACAGAAGCATCAATAAATACAGAAAAACAGTATTGAACTTAAGGCTGTGAAGAAAAAGAATAGCAGCTGTGAAGAAATAGAATAGCAAGCAAGATATAACAAACCAGATGCTTGGAGGATGGCTCCAGTTTTTGTAATTGGCTCTCCAACTGGATGATATTCATTATTTAATTGAATCACCTGCTTTGAGGATGACAACAAAGGTGGGAATTTGGTCTGACCAAACTGATCTAGTTCCTGATTTGAATTCTTAAACAACAAAGTACTATTATATCCATTAAGCAAACCATCAGAAATTTCAACCGGGGAGTCAATTAAGGGGCTTAGGAACTCAAAAAGAAAACCAACAGCCAAGCTTGACCGATAAGCTGGACTAGAGGTACCATCTTCAGGTATTACCAAAGTTTCAAGTAATTTAATAGCCTCATACAGAACACCAATGCTTAGCAATTTCCCTGATAAAAACTTCTCAACCTCCCTTGCCCTAATCGAGTGCTTGGTCCCGTAAGCACCAAACACCAACCGACAGTTTTTTAGCATAAGTCCGGTAGAATTCTTACAGAGAGACACCTGAGCCGAGAAAGTAGCATTCAAATAGGGCAGTGCATTTCCAAGAGGACGTGGTGCAGCTCGATAGGTTTCATACAGCAACTTAGTGTAGTTATCACAAGAAACATCCCTACTTGACTCCCAGCATGGGATTTTAATACTTAACAGAACACTTTTTGACTCCAGTGGAGGCCTTCCAAGGAACTCCTCTAGTGTCAGCTTTTCACGTTTCTGACCAGTCATTATGTCCAAAATTGCATCCACAGAAAGTAGTATTGTAGCAATATCTGATGGAAAATGTTTCCTCTGGGCCATTATCAAATTTCCGCCTACACTAGCTGAATTCCTAATGAACCCTGAAGCAATCTTCTCCATGTGGTCAGCAATTTTTTTGAACACCAGTTTAGCTTCTTGGCTAAATTCAACTTCATTTTCTTCCTTCAAAGCTTCAATAGCTTTAGAAATGGTCACAGCTGCTCCAATTTCAATCCCTGTAGGATCTTTTCTAATGATTGAAAGCTCAGGAATATATCTCAAATCAATGTATTTGTCATAGCGTACTAGTTCCTTGTAATAACCCATTCCTGTGTTACCAACAATAATCTTCATTGAGGTTCCATCATTAGCCTCATTGATTTGCAGTAAACTTTGTAGCTGCTCAAGACTAACAGGACTATACCAATGATATCCTTCGGAGTCCAGATTGGCACCCATCGTGGTTTCCTTTTTTAGAAACTCAGGAAACACACAAGTTGCATTCTTGCGATTGTATGGAGGTAATCTACCCAGCTTTACTTCATCGCTTTCACCTTTTCTCCAAAAGGAGTTAAATCCCAAATCCTCCATATCAACATCAGTGGCAAAACTTTTACAGGCATCAACAATGGGTCGATAACCAGTACATCGACAAAGATTTCCTGCAATAGATTTTTCTGCTTCAGAAACTGTCAGCTTGGAGAATCCAGGACAGGGCTCTTGCCTATTAGTCTTATCTGCATTGACAAGAGCTGCAAAGAGAGAAACACACATTCCTGGAGTACAAAAGCCACATTGAGAAGCATGGAAACCAGAGAATCTTTCTTGAATTGGATGGAACCCATCCTTGCTATTCCCAACTCCCTCAGCTGTTGTAATTGAGCATCCATTTACACTGCATAGTAGTGTGAGGCAGGAATTCACACTGAAGTCCTCAACCTTGTCATGGACAGAGTCATACTTGGAAAGTAGGACAATGCAGGCACCACAACCTCCTGTTAGCATAGGAAGAAATCTTTCATTAAGAAAATAAAATATAATAAGAAATCATTCATTTGGTAGCAGAGGATAAGAATACAATTACTTCTCCTTTTAAGATCTAAAATTTTCAATCTTATTTCACTTAAAATAACTTTAAAGAGAATGCTTATGAGTTATGTCAATAAGTAAACAAGCTGAAAAAAGCTAATCATTGAAACATTCTATTTTCAACCCATTAGCTTTACATGGCTATCATATTGTAGGGAACTCCAAACCACTCCATTTCCCTGAAGAATCTAAATATATAGGCAGTCAAACCGAAATATGCCTCCAAAATTGTGAAAAATCATCAATCAAACATATAAAAGTCATGAAAAACCATGACCAAAAGTAAACAAATAAAACTGTAGATTGATTAGAAGAAAATCCATTAACCCATCAAAGAAAAAATAAAGTATTATATTCAAACACATAGAGGCAAATGAAAAGAGAGAAAGAGAAAAACCTTCCCCACAGCTGAGCTTGACACTTTTGAAAGGAGTTTGAGAACGCATAAACTGTAGCAAAGTAGTAGAAGGATCTACGTTAAACAGCTCAAACCTCTGTCCATTAACAGCGAAAACCAAACATCGCTTTGTTGATGTTGATGTTGTTGTTGTTGTTGTTGTTTCCATTATCGCACTTGAACATTTATCGAAGCAGATAAAAACTGAATACTGTTACTGCATCTGCTACCGGAACTGAACTTATCCAGTACCAACTTAGGCAAAACTGAACTTTCTGTGTTGGTTGGAGTAATTGTTCTCTCAGCATCCCCTTTTCTTTGACTATAGTTTCTTTGGAAGTGGGGCCACTCATCACTATTTAACTTTAAACTTACCTGATAAAAAGTATTACTTTTCAATGTGTTTGTAATGGGATAAAAGCAACTGATATATTCATGATTTTAATCTCGAAATATTCTCATAAATGTTGAATTTTAATTAACAAAGAAATATTCTCATAAACTTGTTATATATTTATATAACAAGTTTAAGTTTTAAATTTTTATTTTTAAACTGCTGTTTTTCTTGTAAAAATAAAGTTCATCATATTGTTTTTTTTTTTTTTTTAATTTAAGTAAAGTAATTTGTCACTATATTATTAATTTAATATTGAATTCTACCATTACATTTTAAATTTCATTAATATTTGGATAAAAAATAAAAGAATTAAAATATTTTGTTGATGTAAATGTTAATTTTTTAACATTAAGATCTAAAAGTGTTTTTTTTAGCTAAAAATTTTGTTTCCACTACAAACCTTAATATTAAATCATATTTACGTATACAAATCTCTGTCTCTTTTAAAAATAAAACTTAGATAAGTGCTTTACAAATATATGTATAAAAAGAAGATATTTTATTTAGCCCCTTCATGTCTACTATAACTATTTATTTTGGTTTTCATTTTCTCGTTCCTAGATGGGGTTCAATCTTTTTAGGTTTATATTCTACTCCCAATAAAAGTCTGCCCGATTTTGATTAGCGCATACAAGACAAATGACCCAATACCACATACCATATTTTTGTACACATTTTTTTTTCAAACTGAGCTTTTTCAAATGGAAACAGCAATGTTAAAAGATAGAGAAAAAATGCTTTAAGACAATACTAAGTGATTTCTAACTAGGTGTAGTTTCTGTGAAAGAACTGAAGTACAACTTAAACCAGACAGCATCCCATCACTTTCTGCCTATTGTCCACTGTAAGAACCTCTGAACACTATCAAGCCCACAGAGCTCCTTCACAACAGGCATGGTGGCAGGTACCTCCAACTGAAATACTGAATGAGATTCGTCTAGGCCACCCCATGAATGAAGTTGTTGCCTGGCTTCCTTTATAGCTGCTCTTATAGCACAGTGAACAGAAACTGCTAGCTTTAATGGTGGCTCTCCAGAAGCTGCAAACATACAGGTGGTAGAAATCGATGATAAGTATCATATTTACCCTGTCTTACAACTTCGTTTTTCTCTTTTTACCTAATGTTACTCCAGTGCTCGGTACATGAACTAATACAGTCAAATATGAACAAGCAGCATTTTGATCACCTCAAGTAACAGAAAGTGTAGAAGGAGAATGATAAAATGGAGTATCATCTAATAAAGCAAAAGGACACTGGACATTGATATTGCAGAAAACATTGACCGACAAGAACATAGTATATTTGTCACCTTTCATAAAAGCCGCTTCGACGTCACATGAATATTTAGGTAAACTCGTGGAACAAAGAAAAGACTACATTTGATAAAAATCTGAACTTGCCTTTTGAAGAAAGTATACGTTTTTTATGATGTCCACTGTTCAGGATTTCAACATTAAATTTTTTAGGTATGGTGTCCACTGTAGGGATCTTATACGTCCAAGTGCCTTCTGCAACCACCAACCCTTTGGAGTTTGTGGGGTATTCTTCAAGCATAAAGAATCCTATTCCTTGAACAAAAGCCCCTTCGATCTGAAAAAGAAAATTGTTAATTCTTGAATTTAGTATGATCCTGATCATGCTCACCAACCAATTAGTCAGAAGAAAGGAAACAGAGCAACTTTCAGGCAGATACAATTCACTATCTTAACTCGCAGCTTATGGACAGAGGAAATTCTTCTATGGCAACCACATGTAATGTAGAGCAAAGGAAATTTAAGCATGCTTGACATGTAAAGACTGAACAAAAAAAACTATTAAAAAAGGTTACGGAACAAATATTTTAAATTGAAGTAACGAAAAAGATTAAATTTAGGCCAACCTGTCCTAAATCCACAGCAGGATTTAAGCTTTGGCCGCAGTCATATATGATATCTGTCTGCAATATTGTGGTTTGCCCAGTTAAAAGGTTTACCTCCACCTGCAATGCCACATCATCATTATTACCGACAACAAGTCATGTTTAATGGTCTGCATCCAGATTCACTTCAACAAAGACTGCAAAGCGTGAAAGACAAGTAAAGTAGGGGTCAGTGATACACTTGCCTCACTCACTGCAACACCATAGTTTAGATATTGCATGGACAAAAAGTCGGGTACATATAATGAACTTGCTGACAAGTTCACAGAACTCTGATATGCCTGCATGCGGTAAATTAAAACCATGAAACTGCGATAATCATCTATATCTCATGAAGAATACAATCTCATCTCTTGAGCAATCTGTTCCTATAAACAAATTCTGATATGCAAGTGCATGAGGAACTAAAAGGCAGAACAAAGTTAGAGGCCCATATAAATTTCATTCCCATAATTTTGTTCTCATTTAACTAGCATCTTTGAGCTTAAAACTAAGACCCTCTACTAAAATAATTGAAGAACAAGGCTAACAAGGCCACTCTTAATCCTCAGTAGCATATTTAACATCCACATACTGTCCTTCTCATTCTAAATACAAAATATTTGCTGATTATCTGCAATATTACATCTTTGTTATTTTAGATAGCCACGAAAAGCGAAGAGACATTTAGCACATTTAGCAATAAAAGTCAATGCCACAAGTAATAAACATAAATGAAGAAATCATAAACACACCAAGCTTGCAGTTGCGCCAAAAATAAAAGTGCACTAATAAGAAGTGGTCTTAAATATTATTAAGATATTATAAACCTTAAATCAAAAGATGTGCATTATCCATGAGTTAAATGTTAATATTTCAGTTAAAAAAACCACCAAAATTTCCCAGTCTGAATCAGAAAACTGAACAAACAAATAATAGGACTTTCTTTTTTTTATTTCCCTTTTTCCTTTTCTCCAATTATGGTAAGAAATGGACATAAAACCTGGAGTTTAACAAAGATCATAGAGGTATAAGAAGCATAAGAATGAGGATAAAGATGGGAAAGGAGGGAAACACTCAATTTCCTCTAGCTGCCAAAGTGAAAATATTACGAGGTGAGTTAGAATATGTATAAGTGAAGAAAGATACCTGAAGAATCAGAGTCTCCCACTTTATAGATCCCATTTGCTCCACCAACCTTTCCTTGAGACCAGTAAGTCTCTCAACCAATATATTGCAGCAAAGTCTAACGGCTTCACAGCTGGATTCAGATGTTGTGCTGCCAGAAGTAAAACCACCTTGAATTAAACTCAAGGTATCAGCTTGTATGACCCTCATCTTCTCTAAAAGTTCTTCTGTTCCACCACATTGGATCAAACTAAGAGCATATGCAGTCATCTGTTTTACCTTTGTCCAGAGACCCTGACCCAGCTCAATCCCTCCAACCTCAACAACAATAGATCCATCGCGTAGAATGCTTACTTTCCCTGGGGTTGCTCTCAACATTACTGGATGCACAATAGGTACTCGAGAAATTCCCCTTTTCCGCCATTTATTACACCTATTAAATTCTTTCAACTTTTCAGTTCTATGGTAAAAGCTTGAAGACGTGGCCAACTTATCCCATATAGAAGGTAAAGTGTACTCCAATGGTTCACCGGCACTGGTCTTGAAAAATAATTCAAGGCTGTCATACTTGTGGAGATTAATACTTCTGACTGAATCGACTTCCAGGGCAAGGGCAGATGCCACATGTTCAATTATAGCTTCAGAAATAAATGATGCCTGTACCTCCCCAGGGGCCCTCATTGCTGATCTACTTGGACGGTTTGTTTTGCATACCTTTATATCAAAAGCTAAGGCACCCCAATTGTACTTTTTAAGTGAACCAATCATGTTATGCGGCATAACTGGACTTATGTCGGCCGACATCCCTGCATCAATTAATATATCAAGTTTTAGGGCTGTAATCTTCCCATTAGTTTTGAATCCTACATTGTAAGTTATTTTCATTGGATGCCTTCCTCCTGCCATTATCATATCAGTCTTGCGATTGACATACATCCTGACTGGACAGTGTAGTTTGTAAGCAGCAAGTGCGCATGCTGTAGAAACCTATAACATCACATTGTTAGAATCTTTAGCAACATAAAAGGACTATAATTAAGCAATACAAATGGCACAACCTAGAGAGGCTTGCTTTAAGTTTTGAACTTAGAGGGATGTTAGGCATCGGACAGGACGAAGAGTCACTTGAGTATGCATTCAGAAGATAGTCTCCAAAATGAACGAAACTCCAACTGTATGCTTATTGTAGTTTTTGTATCCTACACGTGTTGTTTCCTTATATTTAATTTATGTGGCGTCAACCAACATCAATTAAGTTTATTGTGGCCTTAAATCCAAATTCATTATCACCTTTTAGTTTTATTATGCTCCCTATCTATTTTGCTAACTGGTTTTAGGTTCAAAGTTTTATTATAATAAGCATCACCTTTTAGTTTACATATATCTAAAGCAGACTTTATTCAAGTTTCTAATTAAAGGAATAAAAGAAACAAAATGATGGCATTTATTAATGCTAATATACAATAATATTTACCAGTAACAAATGTGCCCCAAAATTAGTAAAACAAACAAGAGCGGTATAAATTTCTATATTGTTATACTACTTCATTAAACAAGCATAAGATGTGGATGGAAACAAAATCAGCCACATGGATTCTAGTCAACTATATAAAACAAGTCTCTCATCTAAAAATAATATGAAATGAGTAAATTAGCAGCTCTAATTCATTATTCCTGTCCATAATTTTAAAATAATCAATTTGTGGCTGGAAACAAGGCATACCTTGTAAGAACTGTAAAGAAAAGTTGAAAAAAATTAGAAGGAACAAGAAGAGCATGCCGATACTCACAGGCATTGCTTTTATGGCCTTTCCACCAAATCCTCCTCCAACCCTTCTTGTAATCACACGAACATTGTGTCCAGGGATGCCGAGGCATTTAGCTATTGAATCAT